TGCATATTTCATGGCTGATAGGTTCATGGTTGGTTCGTTGCCAGTCAGCCAGAGTTCCTTGTTGCTTATTCTTATTATTCTGGTCATCTGATCTTCAGTGTCAGTATCGAGCCAGCGTAGGCGGCAGCTGTTGATGAATGTCTGCAGTCTGTTGGAAATGCTTTTCATGACGTGCCAAGTCTCTCAACCATCACATAGCAGCACTGACTTAGGGTTGAAAATCCGGATCTTCTTCACGCTTTATGCTGAGTGCAGTGCAGTGCAGTGCAGTGCAGCAGATCTCCACATTGGTTTCAGATTGATGAAGGCCTGTCATTTTGTCTTCCCAATCCTGGCTTCGACATCCCCATCTGTGCCCGTGCCGCCTGTAGTTGAGATGAAGCTGTTTGAGCAGGTAGAGAGCTGGATGAAAGAGACAACTTCCTTTAGGCTTCTCCCGTTCATGGTCATTGGTGCTTGTTGTTCTGGCTGTTGCTGTTGGTGGTTGGGTATCTTCATCACCTCTGTCTCATCCACGTTCACCTGAAGGAAGTCACGTCTTCGCTGCCTCGCCCCTTCTGCCGACTTGTCAGTCTTCGCTTCTAGATCTTCGAGTTTATGCAACATAAGATATTAGACATCAATCATCATCGTTGGCGAAATCCAAATCTTCCTCTGGGGTCTTCTCATCAGTCCAGCCAACATATCCCCATCTCGCTCCTCACTGTTGTCTATTGCATGATCCAGTCCAGTTGACTCGACCACAATCAGGAAGATGATCGGTGATAGCAGGTGGCAACCTTGACATGTCTTACTCCTGTCTTCACTTCAAAGCCATCACTGAGCTCTCCATCATGTTGTGGATCACTTGACACGTAGCATCATCATCATCATGTAGCCGTCGAATGAGGTTGATGAAGGTTTGTGACACCAAAACCATAGTGTTGAAACAGATGCCAAATTAATTCTCGGTCGACACCGTCGAAGGCCTTTTCAAAGTCGATGAAGTTGAGGTAAGGTAAAGAGTTGACTGCCATTCTATACTCTGTTCTATGATGATGCGTAGCGTAGCGCAGCGTTGCAATTTGATCCACACATCATTTGTTCTTCCTGAAGCTAGCCAGACAGCCACCCAGCCTGTTCAATTTGTAATTATGAAACCAGAGCATCCTTCAGTCTCTCCTGTATGATATGCCTTAATATTTTGCTTGGGGTGGGTGGACAGCAGCATGACTCCACCACAGTCCTTGCAAAGACTTACGTCTCCCTTCTTTAGGAGTCCGCTGATAAGGTAGCACTTCTTCCAATCAACCAGCAGGCACCTTTCCTGCCTCTCTTCAAAACCTTCTGCAATAGTGGTGTGGTATGTGCATGTCCACTGTTGTCCATGAGTCTGCAGGAATTCGATCTGGTCCTGCTGCTCTCCTGGATTTCAGCAACTTCATGGTGTTCAGCACTTCACTTCTACTTTTGGCGGAGGGCTTGTGTTCACTGATAGTTCTCTGGCTGGGCTGATGGTCGTATTTCTGGACCGGTTGTAGGTGGTGGTCGATTTAAGATCTTTATGAAGTCCTCAGACCATCGTTTCCTCCTTTGTTTCTCCCCTTGTGTAACAAGCTTTCCTTCACCATCTTTTACTGCTTTCATCTGTGCTGCGTTGATCTCCTCCCAGATGGCAATCTCGTTATTTGATATAGTGTTGTCAGCTCTTTCTCTCTCCTACCTGCAGTCTGTTCTGCTTCACTTGCAAGTGTGTGGTAGAAGTGTCGTTCATCTTTCTGCACACTCTTCTTCACTTCTTTATCCAGTGTAGTGTTTCATACGTTGTACTCAGTTCCTCTTTTCCTTGTTCATCCTTGCACTGCAATGCACTGCACTGCACTGCTTCATCTTCTGCTTCACCATCTCCCTCTCTCTCTCTCTCTCTCTCCTCTACCACCTTCTATGTGGAGATCTGTTGAGATCCATTCCTTCTCTTATCTTCTTTCTTCTTCCTTCCTAACACAATTATGCAGGGTTCTTTCCACCTCGCTTTCACAGATGTCCACTGTTCTTTCACACAGTTCTCTTCACGAATCTTACTCATTGTCTCCCATTTCGTCCTCATGCCCCACTGACGTGAAGATGTCCTTTGAAGTTTCGTCCTTCAATTCAGTTCAGTTCAGTTCAGTTCAGCTCAGTCCAGTTTCTGTGTGTTTCTCCGTGTTCAACTTCAACTGTGGTCGTCTATCACCAACTGCTTCTTCGAAGGATTTCAGCTCGATTTTGAAGGTAGGTTCCTTGCACTAGACAGTGAGTCGACTGAACCACCCACACCCCCTTCTCTTCTTCATCTGATTTTGTGTCCAGTAGGCTGCGTCTCCACTTTCTTCACATTCACATGAAGTCCATCTGATTTCTAATATGTCTTGGTATCTGGTCGAATCGAATCCATGTCACTGCCTTGTCAATATCCTTGTGTTTGTACACACTGTCTGACTCCAATCACCAAATCGTCGAATGCACACAAGTCTGCAAACAGTTCTCCATTCTCATTCCTCATTCCTCAACGAGCGCTTCTCCACCCATGATCACTTCTCTTCCTGTGTTATCCCCTCCCAGTTTGGCATTTTGATGTCGCCATCTGGGGTGGAGTCTTGTCCAGTACTGATTCCAGTTCTCTGTAGACCTCCTCATTCTTCTCTTCATCTGCATTATTTGTAGGTGCATAGTGTAGCGTAGCATAGCGCAGCATAACATTGTATGATTGTGACTTTCCTTCCTTTTCACTTGAATCTTGCTGTCATGATCCTGATCCTGGAGGAGTAGGAGATTGGTTCCCACTGCATGAGAGAGAGCCTTCGATGCTGTTGGAGACATGATGATAACCACTCCATAACTCAGTGTGCTCGTGGTTGTCGTCTGGGTGACAATATCGGAGTAGACTATTGACTATCCATTTGACAGTTTTGAGAGTCTACTTCCATTCCATCTGCAGGCTCCTCGCAGGTTCCTAGCACTTCTATGCTATACCATCTCATCTCTTTTGCAATCTGGACAGCCTTGCCAGCGAGCCAGACAGCCAGCCAGACATCTTCAAACATTGTGCGGACATTCTATGTCCTTATGCTAACTTTCGCTTTCATCGAGAGAAGCGAAGACATATCGGCCAATTGGCTTCCCGAAGGCTTTCACCGACCAGCGTCATTTCGTCTCTCCGATGCCAGTGAGGAATAAGATTATTTATATATTTTTTTGTGCTTCGAAGTTTCTTTAACGATTGTATTGCTTTTCCGGGTTGAGGTTGGCAGCTTTATGCCCAACCTTTCTTCTTTATCCGAGCTTAGGGCCGGCTAGTAAACTAATGAACTAGTAAACTGAGCAAGGTGTCTACCGAGATCAAATCAACGACGGGCACAGATAGATCACATTACTATAAGCCGTCATTGAAGAGGATCGGTGGAGGATTGTTACTCTTTCTGTAGTACCCGTTTGGACTTAGATCATGTGGCAGGACGGTCTCATGTATATTGTACTCCTTACTGGTCGCAGAAAACAGGCAGTAGTGAAGCCTGTTTGTACTCGATTGGAAGATAAGGAAGCTAAGTGCGCAGTGAGTGGAGATAACTAAGCATTCATCTTAACACGTGTTAGCAAAGATATTATGAGTGATCTTTGCAATGGTGGAAAGTTGTCTTAGCCCTTCTGACACGATGCATTTAAACCACTTTATTGTTATTTGTCATTATTATTAATATTTTTGGGATTTTTTGTAGAAGAAGTAAGTTTTAGAATATGGCATGCTGAGGATTCTGTACTGTGAACAAAATAATGTTCGAGATAAAGGAAATATATTCATCATCAGTGGCCAGTATCAACATAGGACCAATCATTACTGCCTCATGGTCCGAGTTGCCAGAGCTCATATCAGTACATCAAGTAAAAAGACGGTGAGGCACAAGATGAAGATAAGAAAATTCAGTCAAAGGAAATATAAAGTACGAAAAGAGAGAAAGGAAGAATGAGAAAGTGGTGAGATTTGGTATAGCGTCGTTAAGATGAGGATAATGTATGTATACATCTGCGCCACTGATATAGGTTCTGAGCCATATCATCTAGAGTCTCCAACCACTGGTTCCTCTTGTCCTGTGGACCCCAACCACCTAGTCTGCATCGCCCCACATGGCTCAAACCAACAGTCAAAGACTTCATACGTTGGTGCCATGTTTTAATCTGGCCACTTCGGGCCCTTTCCCAGCCTGAACCTACTTCGGTCAACATTGTGTGACGAGGCAATCGGTGACTAGGCATATATAGTACATGTTCCAACCATCTCAGTCGATGAAGGTTCATAACCTCTTCAACTTATTTACCTCTACTCCCTAAAACTCTATACCTGACTTCTGCATTACTCACGTGGTGACACTGTGTAATACGGCCTATACTATAGACCAGACTGCTGTGCAGTACAGGCAACCCTTAAGAGACAATCAGATATCACGGCGGCGACATAGGTGGCGGGAGTTGGCAAAGCCAGCCGAGCTCTTGTATTCGTGCAGAGATTTCATCAGCCACTGATCCACCAGGGCTGGGCTGATCCTACTTCTTAGGTAAGTGAAGTGGTCGAAACACTCAATCACTACGCTCGCTATTGTTAACCGCGATGGGGGCACCGTTGAAGACCAATCCTGGAGCAACAATTTGCTTTCGGGTGGTGAGAAACGAATCCCAAACATTCTTAAAGTGTCCAGAAGACTCTGCATCTTGTCAGCGTCTTCACCTAACAGGACTATGTCATGTCATCTGCATATTCTAGGTCTAACGAAAATTCCCCTGCGACTTGGTCAACCTCTGTGTAGTCAGGTGACGAGAGGGAGACCCCCATGAGAATATCTACGATGAATCGAATAAGACTGGAGAGAGTGGGCACCACTGACGGACACCACTCGATGAGGATAGCAAATGTATTACTTTCATTAGTACTATCATTATTGTCATGATTATTTCTTTTAGAAATAGTTTCCTTTTTGTTTTGTTTGTAGCTTCTATTCCTGATGTTGAGTCAAGTATCAATCACGATGACCTTAGCACTTATCACTTCAATCTTGATGAACAGAAAAGCAGTACTTCATTTGTTGAATTGTCAGATTCTGAAAGTAGTTGTATGTCTTCACGTTCGATCCCTTCCGGTCAACAGTCGCTTGATCGTTCGTTAGATGAAATTAATTCAGACTTTTCTGGTCCAGTTGATGTTGATCTCGGGGCCAACTATTTAATTGGATGTTCAAACCGACAGGCTGATCAACCATTATTTCACTTAGCACGTATGCTACGCATACCAACTGCTGTCACAGCCGGAGATTTATGCAAAAAGTATCGAGGTTGGGAGTGTGCTGAAATCGCGAAGTGGCTTAATCATTGTTCACCTGATTGTCCGATAACGGCTGACCAAGTTGCTAATGGTGTATTCCTTTTTGATAAGGTTATCCATCTGACTGTCGATCGTTACTTGGGAATAAAATCTAAAGCGCAGAATATTAATCTTTCAAATACTTCAGTCAAGGTGAGCATTTTTATTTGAGAACTGTATCATGGTTTTATGAGTGACCTCCAGATAGATTTGTGATATCACGAGCTGTTCATTGGTTGAATGAAAGTTTCCAAGAGTAATTGGTTCGTACACTGATGCTACGACATATTTAACTAGTTATCAGGCGAATAATGGAAAATGTAGCGAAGTGGAAATTTTTGAAACTTGACGTCTTTGGTCCATAACTGATTTGCAAGTACACTGTGGTATGGTATACTTTTGTGTTTCTTGATCGACAGACTAAACTGACAATTAGCTTGAATAAATCAGCTAAATAAGTTGTCATTCGGTGACCAGTGCTCCTAAGACGGCTATGGTCAAGAAAGCGTTATCTACTAATGCCTTCAGCCTTCAGTGACCACAGCTCAACCGTAGATTAGGATAAGGTGAACAACTGCTCAATACTCTCATTCTCTGACCGGTAGTTGAATGTCACTAACGTTATAGGTCGCCCAAGTTGACAAGTGTCGAATGAGTCTTCTGCATCCTTGTTGCTATCTCATAAAAAAACAGCTCAAAGTCGACCACAGCTATCCAGATCGATGTGTCATTTATCCTTCTCGGGTACTGAAAATCTTATGGCTCCTCCTTTATTTGTTCTTTGTTCGATAATATACTTCTAATTAATTAGTATTTGTTCTTGTCGATTTTTTCCTGTGACTATATAGCCTTGCTCCTTTTTATTTTGAGTTCTACATGGTTCTGTTATTAATCTAAGGAGTGTATATTTGGTCAGCAACCATAGAACGTAGTTCGAAACTAACGTGTGACTACATGCGTTATTCTGACTAGTTGAAAGAGATTTTGGGAGGGTTTTATTTTGCATGTTTTCATTTCGTCTGAATACTGTCCCCTGACATAGTGTTTCTGCGCTTTTATTTATCTAGAATCTCTTCGATGAAGCACTACAAGATATATTTAATGCGGAAGCTCGATTTGGACTTCGTCCGTCTGCAACTTTTCACGACCACATTGAAGAAGGCATTTTTTTGTCTGTAGTTAGCCGTTACTTAGCGTATGTAAATCCTATAGAACGCCTTCCATTATGCGTTTTAGACGATTTATGTGAAGTAACAGACTCTAAATGGCAGTCAAATATAATTGGAGCAAATTCTAGTATGACAGGGTATAATATGAACCAGTCGTCTTTATTAGTTCAACTTGTACAATCGTATCCTACAGCTGACCAAAGAAGAGCCTACCATGCATGGGCAGAACGAAAGTTGGAAGCTCTAGCAAATAACGAAAAGGCGTCTCTTCCATCAGTTGCTGGAGCTGTATGCGTTAGTTGGGAAGACCGTTTGGTGACTAGTCGATTCGGTGATATATTAAGTCCTCTGCTTAAAGGTGTGAAGATAGTTTACAATGCTGTGGTTACTGACATTGATTGGAGCGGGACGTGTGATACTACAAAACATTTTAAGATAGTTGTAAAAGCTAGGGTCAACCAAAAGCCCCAGTTGACTCAGAATGGTTATAGTTGCTCAGCAAAAGGTTCAAATGAAGAAGAACAGGTGTATGAAGCTAAGCACTGTATTATTACTGTTCCTATTGGTGTATTAAAAGGTATGTCATGTTCTTTCGTGTGTTTTTAGTCCCTTGTAAACATCATCTAAAAGTAATTGTTCATTGTGATACAATGTATTGATGTGTATATCTTAGAAACCTTAGTGTCATATTCATTTGTAGCGCGAAGTATCAATGTATCAAACCGTTTGAGTCGTTTTTGATGCATGATATATATCTACATCTTGATCAACAAACCCACTGTTGAATGCTTCATAACATTGTGGCTGTTGGCGCTGAAAATTTCCTGCGTCGCTATATATAAGCTCATAGGTAAGCATCTGATTGATTTTAACGACGTAGGAAATTTTCAGCACCAACAGCCACGATTTTATGAAGCATTCAACTACAGTTTGTTGATCAAGACATTGTACTTCTACCAACTACCGAGTCTGAAACCCACTCCACCAACTGTGATGTTGGTAGCTTGGTAATTTCATAAACTCTCACATGTATAGTATGACTGAAATTACCTTTAATCTCATATATTTCTTTCAATATCAGAAGCTCTTCAATCAGTCGATATCAAAAGGGATTCTGGCATTGGCGCATAATGGTCCACGTTACTACACTTCACATCACATCAAAGTAAAAGCCACCAAGAAGTAGGAAACACGGTAAACAAAAGCAGTAGAGTGGAGCTGTAGCTCATCGGTTTAGGGAGATGACTTTCATTAGTTCCAGGCCGGCTCCACCTACCGAGGTTTGGGCAGTCAGCTGGTATCATTAACCCTCACGCAATAGGTATTGCTGATTGCCTACTGCACAAATGTTCACAAGGTTTTTGAGTGCATATTATTATTATTATTATTATTTTTTAAAGCAGTAGAAAGTCATAAGAACTTACTTAATAGTTGATTTCGGAGCGGATAAGCTGAAAAACATCTACATTCATAATTCAGTGTCCAGTACCATCTGACAAGTTTAAAAAGTTACTTCAGTATGACTTCTTCCGTTCATCCAAGCCTCGGGAAAGATGCAAATTGGGGACAGTTCACATAAAAAGTCCTAAGAATTCTATTACATTGAAAGTGAGATTCCCAATCATTTTTCATTTCAATCAGTCAGCATCAAAATAGAACCTGACATTACTGCGTAGCAATTTAAATCGTCATACCTCACATCAGCACCTCAAGCAAAAAGGAACCACAATGATAGAGATAAGAAAAATAGTTACATTGGTCAAAGGTCATGAAAAGACAACAAGAAATAAAATACATAAAAAGTAATGTGACTATCAAAATGATCAAGATAATGTGTAGATACATTGTCACTTATATCGATTCTGAGCCGTCGACTAGAGTCTACAGACGCCAATTTCGGATGCAGCACGCAACCCAACCGTGAAGTATACATTCCCCTGTATGTTTCAGAAGGACGGTTAAAGACTCCACACAATGATTCCATAAGTAAGTCAATGACTAAAAGAAAACAATAAAGGAGAGAGTGGACATCCTTGATGGCAATCACCCGATATACTGAAGTCGGCCGGTACTCCACTGTAGTCTCTCTGTAACTGAACCCTCCACAGGCTCCCCTCCCAAAAGAGTAATCTACTCACTCGGCACTGTTTCCAATGGGAGGCTGTCATAAAATCTCTAGATAGGCAAGGCCAAATGCCTCCTTCAAGTCAAGAAATACAGCTAGTGTTGGGCGTTGCCCAGTGTGCCTGTGTTCCAGAACCTGGAGGATTGTGAACTTCTGGTCGACACACCCATGGACAGGTCTGAAGCCTGCCTAGTCTTCACGAGTTCTCTTCCCGATTTACACTTAGAAATTATTTATCAAGGAACGTAGGACCTTAGACATTATGCTCGCCTGTTGGATGACTGACTGACAAAATCAATGTAGGACCCCACACACAGGTGCATCGGCTCAAACTACCACACTGCAGAAGTGCACAAAAAACAGGCAGATAGGGAAAGAATGATATCAAAGTTGACGAAGAGTATACAATATGAAGGTAAAGGTTCATGCGAGTATTCGAGTTCTTGAAAATGTCAAGGAGTGAATACATCTGCACCACTGTGACCGATTTTCAGCCACGTCACCAAGAGTTCTCAACCACTGATTCGTGCTGGCTCGATGACCCCAACTAGGCGATCTACATCTCCCTACACTGCCCACACCATGGGTAATTGACTTCATCGACTGATGCCACATCTTGGTGTGGCCACCCTGAATTGTCGTCTAACCGAATCCAAACTTCCGCTAGCATTGCACGTCGAGGCAGGCAGTGGGTCTGCATGCACAGTACATGTTCGAGCCATCACAGTAGACTAAGGTTCGCGACCCATCAGTCGACTTGCGTTACTTGCCTAGTACCCTTCGTTTAACCTCAGCACTGCTCACACGGTGGTCCCACCAGACGTGAGCAATGCTACGAAGACACTTGAGATCAAAACCTTGCAATTGCTTCATGTTTTCTGGTTTTAAGGGACATGTCTCACAGCCGTACAACAGGTAAGAACGGAGTTCAGCGTAGTATAGTCGTCCTTTAATAGATATTGGGATATCTTGACAGTCGATGCCACAGGTGACGCAAGTTGGCAAATGTCGAAGGGGTCTTCTGTATCCGTGCTGAGATTTCGTCAGTAACTAGCCCGTTCAGGATGACGCAACACTCCAAGTAAATGGAGTGGTTGACATATTCCACTACTTCACTCCCTATCATTGGACTGGGAGTAGTGATAGCAGATCAGTGCTGGAACATCATCTTACATTTGACGGGTGTCAGTGAAATGCATGCCAAACATACTCAGGTTTTTACTCAACGCGTTCAGAAGACGCTGGATTTTGTCGGCATCTTCAAATCTTTGTGTGACCAATAGGAACTTTCTTCCAAACTTATTTAACTCCCCGGTGGGATGATTCTTCGCGCATCGATCACTTTAATGACGTCTCGAAAATCCACTGACGTTTACTTGTCATTGGGTGTAAGTTACCAACTGTCTTTAACACTGTTTCTACAGCAGAAATAATATCATGCCAGGCTTCCCTAGGCTGAACATTCCAGTCATGTCCAGATAAATGCTTAGTTATCTCCACTCACTGCGCACTTAGCTTCCTTATCTTCCAATCGAGTACAAACAGGCTTCACTACTGCCTGTTTTCTGCGACTAGTAAGGAGTACAATATACATGAGACCGTCCTGCCACATGATCTAAGTCCAAACGGGTACTACAGAAAGAGTAACAATCCTCCACCGATCCTCTTCAATGACGGCTTATAGTAATGTGATCTATCTGTGCCCGTCGTTGATTTGATCTCGGTAGACACCTTGCTCAGTTTACTAGTTCATTAGTTTACTAGCCGGCCCTAAGCTCGGATAAAGAAGAAAGGTTGGGCATAAAGCTGCCAACCTCAACCCGGAAAAGCAATACAATCGTTAAAGAAACTTCGAAGCACAAAAAAATATATAAATAATCTTATTCCTCACTGGCATCGGAGAGACGAAATGACGCTGGTCGGTGAAAGCCTTCGGGAAGCCAATTGGCCGATATGTCTTCGCTTCTCTCGATGAAAGCGAAAGTTAGCATAAGGACATAGAATGTCCGCACAATGTTTGAAGATGTCTGGCTGGCTGTCTGGCTCGCTGGCAAGGCTGTCCAGATTGCAAAAGAGATGAGATGGTATAGCATAGAAGTGCTAGGAACCTGCGAGGAGCCTGCAGATGGAATGGAAGTAGACTCTCAAAACTGTCAAATGGATAGTCAATAGTCTACTCCGATATTGTCACCCAGACGACAACCACGAGCACACTGAGTTATGGAGTGGTTATCATCATGTCTCCAACAGCATCGAAGGCTCTCTCTCATGCAGTGGGAACCAATCTCCTACTCCTCCAGGATCAGGATCATGACAGCAAGATTCAAGTGAAAAGGAAGGAAAGTCACAATCATACAATGTTATGCTGCGCTATGCTACGCTACACTATGCACCTACAAATAATGCAGATGAAGAGAAGAATGAGGAGGTCTACAGAGAACTGGAATCAGTACTGGACAAGACTCCACCCCAGATGGCGACATCAAAATGCCAAACTGGGAGGGGATAACACAGGAAGAGAAGTGATCATGGGTGGAGAAGCGCTCGTTGAGGAATGAGGAATGAGAATGGAGAACTGTTTGCAGACTTGTGTGCATTCAACGATTTGGTGATTGGAGTCAGACAGTGTGTACAAACACAAGGATATTGACAAGGCAGCGACATGGATTCGATTCGACCAGATACCAAGACATATTAGAAATCAGATGGACTTCATGTGAATGTGAAGAAAGTGGAGACGCAGCCTACTGGACACAAAATCAGATGAAGAAGAGGAGGGGGTGTGGGTGGTTCAGTCGACTCACTGTCTAGTGCAAGGAACCTACCTTCAAAATCGAGCTGAAATCCTTCGAAGAAGCAGTTGGTGATAGACGACCACAGTTGAAGTTGAACACGGAGAAACACACAGAAACTGGACTGACTGAACTGAACTGAACTGAACTGAATTGAAGGACGAAACTTCAAAGGACATCTTCACGTCAGTGGGGCATGAGGACGAAATGGGAGACAATGAGTAAGATTCGTGAAGAGAACTGTGTGAAAGAACAGTGGACATCTGTGAAAGCGAGGTGGAAAGAACCCTGCATAATTGTGTTAGGAAGGAAGAAGAAAGAAGATAAGAGAAGGAATGGATCTCAACAGATCTCCACATAGAAGGTGGTAGAGGAGAGAGAGAGAGAGAGAGAGGGAGATGGTGAAGCAGAAGATGAAGCAGTGCAGTGCAGTGCATTGCAGTGCAAGGATGAACAAGGAAAAGAGGAACTGAGTACAACGTATGAAACACTACACTGGATAAAGAAGTGAAGAAGAGTGTGCAGAAAGATGAACGACACTTCTACCACACACTTGCAAGTGAAGCAGAACAGACTGCAGGTAGGAGAGAGAAAGAGCTGACAACATTATATCAAATAACGAGATTGCCATCTGGGAGGAGATCAACGCAGCACAGATGA